TAATATTTCACCCATTGATCGTATTCATTTAGTAGGTAATTTAGTCAACGCACTCTACTACTGGACGTGTTATGGAGGTACAACTGAGTAATACAGCTCTCGCCATCGCACTGTTGCACAAGAATAGTGTGAATGCTCAAGTATTTGTTGTACAAATAAAATGAAAATCACGCATATGTACGTAGTTACCAAATGCCAGTTATGTAATCCCCAACTATTTCACTATTTTATACAGTCCGTTAATAGTGACTGCTGATGCGTTAGTATACATTGTTGGTTCGGAGGAGACTGTGTTCCTGAGTTTTTAATGGTCTACTTATTAACAAAATTGCCGCAACGTTGGGAACGTTATTTCAAATAATTCCATACAAATGGAAATAATATTTTTAATCCATCAAAGTAATATTTCAATATTGTCTTTGTTCAGTTCGTTCTACGTTTTCTCATAATTAACGTGTACTATTAAATCCGCAACATTCGTTGAAAGCTACTTGTAAATCTGAAATTTTTAGTCTAAAATGCATTAAAGAAGTCGTTGTATGTGCTGAATCGAGATTCTCATAATTATACATACGAAAAAAACAACGAAATAAAAAAAACAAAATATAAATACGTAATAGCTGTTTTCTAAGTAAGCATTTTTACAGTCCGTATTTTCTGATTACGAACACAAGTAAAATGCAAACACGTGTCAGCGTGGGGCCAAATGCGGACTAGGCACCACAAGCCCGTTCCGAAGAGCCGTGTTCGTGTTGCACAGCCGGGGAAGTGCAAATGTCTGTCCTGGGGGGAGGCCGGTAGGCGTGTTTGCGTACCAACGTGTTCGTTCTTGTGCTGCCGGCAGAGGCATTAGATAGCGCCACGAAGCTGGAATGTTCCTGCAGTTCTGCTGCAGATTATTCACGTGTTACTTTGAATAATACATGATTTAAGTACTTTCGTATTGAACAGTGTATATACAAAATTTTATAAGAATATATTTAAAGTATTATTAATAACGTAAGTACATTTGCAAAAAATATTTTTTTTAAATATCTGAACTTTTATCAATTACTCTTTTATGAAAGCTACTAATGTTGATTAATTACAAACACCAATCAATTTTTGACCATAAAAAATTACCAATTTGGTATATTTGCCCTACCAAGTGTTAATAGAAGATATTAAGAGCGGTTTTTGAAAAAGGTAGCAAATGACACGAGACAAAGTTTACTGTAGAGTCAAAAAACATGTAGTAAAATCATATTGTATTAAATCCAAATTTCACTGATTTTTGTTTATCTGGCACTGATTGAATTATTTCATGACAAATTTGAAGATTTTTTCATATTTTATTTATTACAAATTTAAAGGGATTTTAATTTTGGATTTATTACGTTAACTTATATGAACAAATTTTAAAGTTTTTGTGAAAAGTTTTTGTAAAATTTTAAAGTTTTTGTAAAACTGTATTTGATTTCTGACTCTGACGACATACGTGCTGCTGTCCATGGTTGAATTTTCTTCTAAAGAATATTGCAATCTTTCTTCTAAAGTATCGCTGGTAGATATGTAGATATTACAACGCTGTTTTCTCTGCTAGAAATCGTAACTATTTGAGCAATATTGTTAATTATGTTTTTAAAAATAACTATCTAGATGTGTGTTTATGGGTGGCATGTTAGTATTCTTTATGCCTATTTCATGAGATCTTTTGTCTGGTAAGCAATAACAAAAAGCAAAACCAAAAACCGTGGCTGGAATGTATTGCCAGACAAATAAATAACGTACGAGAGAAAATCAACAAAATGAAAAATATATGAAGGAAATTGGCGGAAGGTGAGAGGGAGATTGCCACATCGGACACACAAATCTGGCATCCAAAACAAATGGCTCCAAATATACTGTAGCTGCACTGCTCAGCACTGCTACTCCTACATTTTTCTATGCGAAAAAATGTTCACATTTCATTAAAATTATTTAAAGCAAAACTAAACATACGGCTGTCTTCTCTGCGTGCATTATAGAGATTTGCTATTTCGCTTTGTCTTAATTTGTCGTATTACTTCGAATGCCAGAGCAGTACATACTATAAACCCAAAATTTGTTTTTTATCATTTTTGGTCGAAAATCTCGAGTTTGTGATCTCCAGTTTCGAGAAAAGATCTTGAGTCCCTTCTGATGTTTGTGACAGAAGTCTTTTCGTTTCCGGAATTGAAAAGTGTTGGCTTTACAACGAAAGTGTATTAATGTTTCTTTCCAGGAATTCCGAGGGCGAAGTGACGGTTTTACTGGTAGAGGAAGGGATTTTCGACACTACGTAATTACTCCGTTTTAATGAAGCCGCCGAAAGAGAACCAGACAGTCTGTTACGGATTTTGCTCCAATTTCAAACAAACCACTCAAAAGAGTAGCAACAAACCACCTCTCGTAATCAACCTCCCTTGATGTTCGGTGTGCTTTGACCTACAAGAGCGTCAATTGGAGACATTTTTTTGAGATTATGTATTTAATCTGTTTGCTTCCTTATTTGTCTGTTTATATATTTGTTAATTTACTTATTTTAATAATAATAATAGTAATAATAATAAAAAATAAGAATATTTACAGCTTATACGTCTTTTTTCATGATGTGTTGATTTTCTGAAAATTATATGGGACTTATGTCGGAATTTTATTCATTGGTAGCAAAACTTTGTGCTTTATTAAACTCTTTTTCTTGCCTGAAATATTACTGATTTTAAGTTCGTTCTTACAAGCTTACATAAGGTGATTTTTTAGCATAATTTTGTTTTATTTTTCACAAAATCTTAATAATTTTGTGAAAAATAATTGAAAATATGTGAAGTGTTAACTATGTGAAAAATATACTGTTTACTTACAATACTTTTTTTTGTTATTTAAGGTCGTATCAACTTCTAAGTCATTAGCGACCACTATTGCTTGTAACGATATGGTAACTATGAGGATGATACGATATGATGAGGATAGGGTTTGAAAGGGGTGTGTGAAAGGACGAACACATTACAATCATGCTCGAGGTGGGATTCTAAATCGCGATCCTTCGGTCCGAGATCGCTACGGCACTATTTCTTAACGATCTCGGCCGGCATATATTTTTTTTGTTTATTCGATTAAAAAATATTTCCAGGTCATTAAAGTCATTAATAAATATGTTTTTCTCTTTTAATATGGATATTAATATTGTATAAGATTTGGATAAGATGGTGAAATAAATAGATTACAGCACAACCTCGCCATCTCTGTTTCCGTGCTTGGTGAATTCTGCAAGTAATTGATTCGAATTTATTTGCTTTGAACGTGACAATTTTGAGGGCTGTTTTAATTTACAACATGAAATCCTTTGAACAAGAGTCCTCACAATCTACTTTAGGTATTAATTTTTTGCTGACATTTGCGCAATTCAAACGACTGAGCGTAGTTTTTTAAGCATTCCAGAAGCTTTTTTTTTGGCCCTCGTGTTTTTAAAATTTTGCTGATGCATGCATTTAAGACTGGTATACTGTGTTTCGGATTTATCGTATGAGAAACGAGGTTGTATATCTTTTTTAAATTTTCTCTTAATTTTTCTAACGGATTATTTTCAAACTTTTACTCTTTTTTGTTTCTGTGATCTGCAATATTATATTCTATCTACAATAAATAATTAGCAATATGGAAACTACCAATAATAAATTGAAATGTTAGAACCCGAAAATATTGTTATATAGTCACAGCTGTGAGAATCATACCCACAGAAAGTACTGGTGGCTCCTCCGGAAAGTGGCAGTTTGTCGACAGGAAACTCGTATCGAGGGTCTCGATATCGAAAAAATGTATAAATCTTGCATCTTTATTCCGTTAATTACTTCTTCTAACACGATTTTTAGTGAAAATCTACATTTTGTCGGATTTGCATTTAAAAAAATTGAGTTGTGGCGAAACGTTTCTGTGTGTGTGGTCAGTACTGGCGCCTAAATCATTCAGACGATTTTCTCCGAAAAGTCTGGTCGAGCTTCTCGCTATGCAAATTTTAAACGGTTATTTTGATTTTGGGGACGTATTTTAAATGAAATCTCAACATTTTCATTTTTTCTTCAAAAGTATTCCCGAAATTTTTCACTATTTTTTTCTCGGACAGTACAAAGTATGCAAATTTTAAACGGTTATTTTGATTTTGGGACGTATTTTACATGAAATATCAACATTTTCATTTTTTTCTTCAAAAATATTCTCGAAATTTTTCACTAATTTTTTCTCGGACAGTACAAAGTAGGCTTAAAAACAGAGTAGATCCCATGTTTGTTGAGCTCTCTAAATTTGCCGAAGTTACAAATAATTGAATGTATGCTTCTGTAGCATCATTAGTTATAATATGACTACGGTGATGCTAAGACATTAGGTGAGGCTAAGGCATTTGCTTGTTCAGAGGATCCTTTCCTGGCAGCAGTATAATGGAACCATTCTTTATCGCTGATAGTTTTTATTACGAACTTAATGATACGTTCGCATATTAACAAAGAATCCTTATAAATATATCTCTCGGTTACAAAATAAAATTGCTCAGAAAATTATAAATTTTCTTATTTTGTTTCAGTAATTCATTGGATATAATCAAATAATACTGAAAAGCAAGAATAAATTACAGAAAATCAGTGTGTATCCAGCTAATTTTCTCAAAACTTTTATTTATGTTGAGTCAATTCTGTTCATTTGATATTTAGTTAGTGTCCAACATTCTCTTCTACAGAGCAAGATAGGAGATCTCATCGCGTTTGCTTCAATCAAAATCCAATTTGTCTTCAAGAGTTTTCTTTTGACCCGTTCTGCAAAGAGGAGCGCTGTCCATCCGCGACAGTTGAACGCGAGGACGCAGCACGCGTGATTGGACGCCGGCCCATTGCAGTCATCATCTCATGGACAGCAATCGCTGCTCTAAACGACCGCCTGCCCGCCCGCGAAGGTCTCGCCGGCGCGGTCGTCCAGTTCCCGATCGCCGTCTGCACGCGTCAGCCGCCGCGATGCCGTGCTTCAGCTGCATCACCGTCGCCTACCTGCTGTGCGTCGCGTCCTCAAAGAGCCACGCGGAAAAGGTTCCGCGCGGAGAGGACAGGCAGAATATTATGTTCGGTTTGAATGCAAACGTCATAGAAATTGATATGCGTTTTGAAGGGCTAACCCAGCTACCAAACGCGTCGCTTTTGAATCCGCGGACAAAAGTTTTACTTTTAGCGGCGAATAATATTTCGTCAACGACAAGTGAATTGAGGACGTTAGCTTCATTGGAAGTGCTGGACGTAAGCAGGAATCGGTTGAGGTCTCTGAGATTCCTGCCGGAACCGTGTTCGCTTCGCGTGTTGGACGCGTCGGAAAATGTCATAGCCGACCCCACGGGGCCTCTCCAGACCTGCACAGAACTGGAGGTGTTGAACTTGACCCGCAACGAAGTGTCCTCCCTCGACGGGGAGCTGTTGGCGCGGACGGGCTCGCTCAAGTCGCTGTACCTGTCGTACAACAAGCTGCGCAGCGTGTCGCGCGACGCGTTCGCCTCGCTGTCCCAGCTGGAGGACCTCTACCTGAACGGCAACGAGCTGCGCGAGCTGCCCGACGGGCTGTTCCGCGGGCTGCACGCGCTCAAGCGCCTCTGGATGAACGGCAACCGCCTGAGCGCGCTGCCGCTGCTGGACGCGTGCTGCGCGCACCTCAAGTGGGCGCTCTTCAACAACAACGCCATCGCCACGCCCGGCGCCGCGGCGCTGCGCGCGATCATGGCCAGCGACGCCGGCGTCAACGTCGGCCTCTACAACAACCCCATCCGGCCCGCCGCGCTGCGCTGGGTGCTGGCCGCGGGCGACGTGGAGCGCGTGGTGGACGAGGCCAACTGCGCGTGCGGGCGCCTGCGCAGGGCCTCCGCCACCGTCTATATCTGCGTGGCCACCGCGTGCGGCATCGGTGCGGACGTCGGCGACTGGGTGGTGGCCGTGCGGGAGGCCGCGGCCGCGGTGTAGGCACGCGAGATTATCATAAGCCGCGCTCACGCACGTTTCAGGTACAGCGATTGGTTTTCGCCGAGTTCTGTAAGGGGACACGGAATGCCCTATCTTCAGTGGCGTAGCGTTTGTGCCCGCAAGGCCTACAATGCGGGTGGCCCCAAGTATTTTAGTTAGGGGGTATTTTTATTATTTAAAGTACTACAATGTGTTTGTTATACAGTTTCATAAAGGGATCTGAATAAAAGTTTTTCGGGCGGACCTGCACTCATTTCCTTACTCTACTGCCTATCCTGGCAATGGTCAATATTTGAGTCAAATTCTCATAATCTAATGAAGTTAGATTTTTGAAATTTTTACAGGATATAGATATATCACTCACAATACACAGAAATAATGATTATGAAAAATGTTTACTATTTTTGTAGATAAAAATATTTTCTGATAATGCCATTTTTGACCATGTTTTCTAGTAAATAAAGTTCTACAGAATGTATTATAGTAACTAAATCAGAAAGAAGTTGTTTCATTAAATATACGAGACCTTTATTAACAACTAAATATTTCAGTTTCCTATTAGAATGTAAGTTGAAGAAAAACTACAAACTTGTATTAAAAATATCAACGTTCAGGAAATGGGCTTTAAAGTTTCAATCATCTGAACACGGTAGTTCATTAACTTGGCTTCAGACTTCATTCATTTTTATGCTGGTTATCTTCACAACGTAAAGTTTTCAATATACTTTTTGCTTTGTCTAAGTCTTTCAGCATGTGTACGCTCCATTCTGAACCAGTATCTAAAAGTATTGGAACCAGCACCTAAACCCAAGGAGAGCAGGACATCACATATAAATAATAAATAAAATACTTTTAAGAGTGATATCAACATAACTTAAATGCCAATTTAAAGAGAAAATTGTGAAGGTTTTTGAGAAATGGTATATCTAAAATTAATTTTTTGGCTGCAAAATCGTTCCGTGTTCCCTTAAAGAGGGAAATTGGTACATGGTTTTTTGAAAATTATGACAAAATGAAAACTTACTATATTCACGTATGGGAAGGGAGTTGGTCAGATACCCTCGTGGCATGCTGAACTCTTACCGCATACTACTTCAACTGTGGCTTATGACTATTCTCACTGACCCGTTGTTATAAGCAATGGCAGTGGATCATTTGCAACACCTCTGTAGGGTATACTGTGGAACTTAGAAATAAATACTTGTAGATAAGATTCTTGTTCGGTAATAGTACATATGAGTATTCAATTCAAATGTGTAATTATAACCTCAAATTTATGTTAAATATATTCTACATTAATTATGAAAATATGTCAAGCATATAAAATAAGGATTATATTATGTATATCGTTTCTGGCAATGCACTGACTGTAAATTATACTTTCTAAATACCTCAGAAACGGTTCTCATAAAGCAGAAGGTCTGAAACATCTGTCCTCCAATAAATATTGACATTAAAAATGGTTTCATTAGCTCAGTTAAATTATTTTTAAACAATACTCCTTTTAAAAGAAAATTAACTAATATTTTAAAGTTATTATTGAAATGTTTACAATACTTTTTTCATGAGAATAACAAATACAATGGAATCAGAATGAATTATTGAAAGTAACATGTAAGGTGATGATGATTAATTCCTATTATTACAAAAAAATTACTTAAGAGCAATAAAAATTACTTTTATTTTCCAATCATTTTTTAATATATTTTGAAAGTTCCTTCTCACTTCAAATATTTGAATGTAGATATGCAATTTGAAATTATCTAAATCATAATGAATTTTAATAAAGTTTTCTTCATCACAACCCATGGACATAATAACATAATAAATGTTACATTTGCAAGGGAAGTGTTCTCCCAAAGCAATAATATCATCAACTTAAATTTCTTGCAACACTTTGTGACTTTATTAATAGAATTTGTCAGAAGTTATTGTACAAATGTAAAAATTTGTACAATAACTTCTGATCCCTATTCTTATAATTCTTTTAAATATGTTTCAGTGCCTCACGTTAATTTTTTCAACAGAGCTTCAACGAACAGTTACTCAACATCCATTGAAGAATTTAAAATTCAAATTCTGTACGCAATCTTAAACCATGTATATTTTTTGGGAAATTCATGTAAACCACGAACATGTTCAGTTCTGAATCCTATCGCCAATATAACTCGATGATTGTCTGAATGTGAGAATGCTATTCAAAATTATATGCATAGCCTTGCACTGGCAGAGAACAACTGGATGGGTAATTAATTTTCGTTGCACTTGTCTGATCTGACGTAAAATGCACATGGTGCAATGTGATGGACAATGTTATCAATAACGGGGCAACGAGCTTTCATTAAAATGCCAGAATGCAAATTTAATTGCAATAATGTAGGTGGATATGAGGTGAATTTTATAGTCAAGGTGGCCGTTCAGAAGTTTTGTTGCAGTTGAATATTCCAAGACATCCACTCCGAACTTGTTTACTCCAAGAACGAAATGAAAAATAGAATACACAGATTGGCTTTTGAAGTTTTAAATATATCAATATTATGATTAAATGTATATTTATTTTTTCATATTTTAATTTTTCCTAGAAATGATTTTTCTTTTTTGAACGCTTATTTTCAGTAAAAAAGTGAATAACCTCTACTGAAGGTAAGAAACCCTAGGGGTATTTTTAATACACATCACATTACCATGCTACCTTCTGTCCTCCGATATACTTATAATTATCGTACATAAACTACATAAGATAAACATTCAATTTACTTTTCAATTTGTGGATAAAAATATTATGAAAAAATCACGCATAGCAACTCTACGACTTGTGACTGTTTCTTTCTGGTTTATTTCGTTCCATTATCTACAGACACACATCTCAATAAGAGTATTTTTTGGCTTTTCTAAAAAGGAAAACATATTGAAATGCTGCTTGCGCCAAAGATTTGGGGAAATAAGGACTTTTAGGACGCGCTATTATTTTCTTACCACTTGTATTTTGTTTTAGAAATTACAGGAGCTTAATTGCAAGGGTGCAAGAAAATTAGGAAAACAATTTTGCTTTTAATTCCCTGAAAGAAACAGCGTGAAAGGCTCGGAGGCGACATTAAGCTCTTCTCTCCAGGATAGATATTTGAGAAACATGAAGCAAAAATTAAACTCTGAATCTTCTTTGGAAATTAAATTACCCTCTTTACCAAGGAACTCTGAAATATCTACTCTTAAAGCTTTTGAATAATGTTTTGAAACATATTTTTTGAAAAGAACATTTTCAATTTCTCTTTAATAAATATACTTCAAAAGGCGTATAATATCCTCATTTTTAGTATATAAACATATTTTAACAGTCAATAATCAAATATCTGATGCTTGAGTTCTCTATTAAAATTACACTGCGTGATTTAATGTTATAATTTTAGCAATCCTGCAATCACAAATGCCAAATTGCCAAATTATTCTATTCTTCTCCAAGTAATATCAATAAATAATATTTAAAATCGTGTCGTTTCCAAAGTCAATGTTTTTGTATATCAGTTCTAGGTAAGAGAATTATTTATTGAATTTTACGACATTTTCGCATAAATAATTTTGAATATATTTAACCTACATGTTAGAACAAAGTACTTTTTGTCTTAAATTAGTTTTCGCAAATATGAACAATATCAAATTTGCTGTGCTCATATTTGACATTATATTCTTGGACTATGAAAAATCTTAATCTTAAATTGAAAGAATTTTTTTTTATTTTTCAGTAAATTTCCATACTTTAATATTTCTTCAAGATTCTTCTTCCTCGATATTAGGTACATGCGTACAGTTGAGTAATCAGAGTTGTTAGACTTAAATTTGTGATCAATTTTAACCAGTAAAGAGATGCAGAATCTACCCTGAAAATACGCTTAATTTAACCGATTTAGTTTTACTGGAGACTAGGAAGCAGAATATTCGACTCGCTTTTCATTTTTATGATGTCATGAAGCAGACACCTAATATGTGTTTTGTCGGTATTATAGGAGCTGCTCGAGCTTTAACTTTAAGGCATCCACTTTTGTGACAGAGCCTCACTTTATATCTCCCTTTTTATTCAAAGTTCATTCATATGTAGAACCCGCCACAGAAATCTGTAGCGAGCATATGAAATATTTCTGCACTTCGAGATACTCGGAAATGTAATTCTTGTGAATAATGCACAATTTGCAGATAAATAACTTCCCAAGATATAAAAAACAATTGAATCTTGTTGATGTCGGGCTAACAATTTATGGAAAAAGCTCTTCTTAGTAGTCCTTGCTTCCTCATACCGTGATTGAAATACGGCATAAATGTGTTAATAATAACGTATTTTTTAATATTTTTGTAGAAATTCCAATTACAAACCATTATCTTAATAAGATCTAGTTTTTTACTAAACCCTGTGAATGTGTTTCTTGTAGAAACTGATTTACTGGTTTAATATTAATAGAGTTGTATCAAATAACATCTGCTAACACTTTAAACTTTATAAGTTTAAATAAAGGGGTGTTAACGCCGCATTCCCACAAAAAAAACCTTTGAGATGCTGAAATGAAATAAAATTATATAAAAGGTTTTAATTGTCCTTCGAATTTGCTTTTCCGTAAGTTTACCCATGATGTTCACAACCATAGATTCTGTTGGTTTACCTTACGCTGATACACAGGTTGAAACATATTCGACGCGAATTTGCGATGTAATTTGGATGGTAGGATGATATTTAGGTTCACCGACTTTGCTTAGGGCGTTTGGATAAAACTTGAACCCTGAATTCGAATTTCAAATTATTTTTTGTCTCTCCGGCTCCGTTTTCTTGTTACACGCTACATCGTAATTAAGAAAATGCTTGAAAACGCTGCATATTAGTTAATTTACTGAATCTTCATTTAGTTATACTGCAGATCTAACTGTTCAGGAAAAATCTAAAAGTGAACAAGGAATTCCTATTCATTATATTTGAATGCATAAAATTCATCTCTAGGGAATGAAAACGGTTTGGT